CCCCGCCCACCAGGCCCGGAACCACCCCCAGACCTGCAGGGCCGCCTCCCCCTGCTCCCCACCTGGGTCCCACTTCAAACGGCCATTCTAAGAAAGGCCTACATCAGACAGGTGCCTCAGCAACTGTGCATCCCTGGAGCGTCACCCCAGGTGAATCCAATCCTACTTCCTTCTCAACACGCCCACTGCCTGAAGCCTGCACCGGCTAATCCGATTGCTTGGCCTCTGTCTGTCCCCCCCTGCTAAACGGCAGCTCCGCGAGAGGGAGGCAGCCTGCCCGGCCCCCGGAAGGCCCAGGGGCCGGTGCGCTCTAGTGCGCGGTGACCACGTACGCACCTTCAGTTGCCTCTCCAAGACCTTCGGGGACGATCAAAAGAGCCTGTGCTAGAACGTCATCACAATAAAAATCTAGTGTTTGATAGGACACATGCGTTACGTTTTGGGAGTTTAAAAATCGCCGAAATAACAAAGCATCAGGTGGGAACCACATTAGTCAACAACCAGCAATAGGAAGGGAGTGGGAAAGACAGGAGAACTTTGATCATATGGAGATGTTCAGTCCACACTTCCAAAACACGATGCCGAAGAGAATACATAAATACTACAAAGCATTCAGGCACTTTACAAACTTTATTAACTGGTGTGGGACCTTTTTTTTTTTTTTTTTTTTTTTTTTTTCCTTGCGTTATGCGGGCCTCTCACTGTTGTGGCCTCTCCCATTTGCGGAGCACAGGCTCCAGACGCGCAGGCTCAGTGGCCATGGCTCACGGGCCCAGCCGCTCCGCGGCATGTGGGATCTTCCCGAAACGGGGCACGAACCCGCGTCTCCTGCATCGGCAGGCGGACTCTCAAGCACTGCGCCACCAGGGAAGCCCGGTGTGGGACCTTTTGCTGTGGTAGTGCTGGTTATTAAACAGTACAGATAGCTCCTAAATACTGGAGCTTGGAAGGGTGGCAAGTTAAACTGATGATACTGTCATTAAAAAGTTAATCAATACGGGCTTTTATAGTTTGTTGTAGAGATCAGCTCAACGAGTGTGACCACTGATCACCACCATTGGCTAACTTAGCACAAAGGGCCAGGAACAACTCTGCATTTCATATCATTAAGAGAAGGAAATAGCAGTAAAAAATATATAATCAGGAATAGGTCAAATACAAAGCTTCGAAGCCATGTTAAGTTTTACTAGGAATAAATGTATATATGTATGTAAATATAGGTGTGGTTGCTAATATTATGAGCACTAAAGCCAGACTATTAGGGTTTAAATCCCTAACCCTTGACTTATGGCTGTAAAACCTTGGGAAAGTTACTTGGTCTCTCTAGCCTACCTTTTCTCATCTGCAAAATGGGGACATAAAAGTATCAGGCCTGAAGGGTTGTTTGTAATGATTAAATGAAGTTTTACTTTTATATTTATATACACACTAAGCACAGTAACTATTTAAACATGTAAGTTCTAAATAGGTAGTATAAATAAACCAATTCAGTAAAAAGGGTGCCAATGTGGCCTTTGTGAATCCACTCTACACACCGTTACCCGCCCATAAGAATGTATCGCCAGTAACGCTCTGCTCCACACCTGTTAACATCGTAATACAGCTAAACACGTCTACCCGTACAGTCTGACATTTAAAGTTTCGACCTTTCCTGTCCTACTGTAGACACGGCACATAACACATGCTATGAAAGACATCCCGACACCACATGAGATGAGTTGCCCTGTTCTTGCTTCTAAAGCAGCCAAGATGTGTAAACAGTCATAGCAAAGCATGCCCATTTGTAAGGTACCGTATAATTTTTTTAGCCCAAGAAAAGGCTCACACCTAATTTTATAATGCGTCTTCATGTGCTCCCTCAGCTGTGATGACGTCTCGAACTCCTTCCTGCAGGCCTTGCAGGCGTGAGTCCGGTTCGCAGCCAGCTCCTGGCGGTGCTCCTCCATGTGGATGGCCAGCTGGCTCTGCAGGGTGAACTCATCCCCACACTCAGAGCAGATGAGGTTCTGCAAAGGCAAAGACCGCCCGTGAGCAGAGCAAACACTTCAGAGCCATCACCTCTTGAAAGAACTCATACTGTAAATGGCTGATACACAAAGGATGCTTTCCTCTGGAACAAACACTATTTCACCTCTCAACAAATATATAATCATGTCCAAATATGAACATATAAACATGATTTCTTTCCTGATAGAAACATAGGGAAAAGGATGAGAGAACGATACAATTTCTAAGCAAAGCGAATTGTTTCAAATTGGCTGCTGGGTAAACGGCATTTTGTCCATCTATGCTGTGAAAACTTTAAAGAGAAGCAGAATGACTTCAATACCACAAAAGGGTCAGGAAAGAATTTAAATTAAGATGACAGTTTAATAGACTACCTTAAAACAAAATGACAGCTGGTAAATTTTTAAATGGAAACACCTATCATTCTTTCAATCTGGTTTATGGGTAGTCGATTACGAGAAGTCCACGACTCTGTCCAGAAGTGCCTGGCTGAGCACCCGAACAGAGCTATGGGATAAGTATAAAATACACACAGGATTTCAAAGACTTACTGAAAAAAAAAAAAAAAAGGAAGAATGTAAAATAGCTCAACTTTTAACATCTGAATTAGAATATTTTGGATATATTTTCATAAATATATTAAAATAAAATATATTTCATCTGTTTTAACTTTTGGAAATATAGCCACTATAAATTTTAAATGACTCAAATTTCAATTAGGATAGCACTGGTCCAGATGTTCTGGAGTTGGGCCTTGGTTCACGTGAAGGCTGCCGGTCACCAGCGGTGTGTATCTGGGGGTGTTGACCACTCAAAGTCTGTGAAACAGTGGTGACAGCAATGCCTGCCCTCAGAGGGTTGTTATAAAGTTAAGTACAATGGTGCATGTAAGATGCTGAACGGTGCCTGGCACAGAGGAAGTACTCAGTAATGAACTGCTGACTCAGTACACAGTTCAACGAGTTTACTCATGTGACCGTCTATAATACCATTATTTATTTAAATGATCCAAACATGGAAAAGAACGAGTGTAACCTGTCAATGAGAATAAACTATTATTTCCAAACAACGAAATATAGAGCTATTTCTTCCCATCAGAATTTCTTCTAATTACTCCACCTGACAGTCTCGTAAATGCATAGAAACAGCATTAACGTGAGGTTGTTCGTTGATACTCTACTCAGAGCATCCTTTGCAGAAAAGACAAGGATGAATGGAATACTTTGAGCAATCCAATAATGACGTCAACTTAAGTAACTTTAAATTAGTGTTACTATATAATAATTTAAGGAAATAATGAACTATCTTGTTAGTATCTTGCTGATAATAAAGAAATTTCTTTCTTGGGAACTGTCAAAAATTTAAAAACCACCTAACAAAATTTGCTGCCTATCTTGAGTGTGGCACTGGGGGCATCCACACCCTGAATCTGTACAGCAAAGTATTCTCCTTTCACTAATGACTTACAATCACGAGATAAACCCTGACTTGTTACCCTCCCACCCGCACCGTGATTCTTTCATTGCGTTGGCTCAGACCCATCCTCTTTTCAGGTACTTTTTCACCAAATGAGCAGAGTAGTATATTTCAGGAGACATCTACATGGATATTACTCAGAAACTGATCAGAATTTTCTGAGTGGAAACTCTGGTTTATGTACAATTTGCTCATACGGCGAAAGCAGGATCAAGTACATGCTGGGCCACAACCGAAACAGGCCTCGTGATGGAAGGTTTTGTGCTGCCGCTGTGTTACACCCAGCCAGACCCAGGAGCCAGGATGGGCCTCCCTTCCTGCCCAGGACCTGGCACCTCGAGCAAGTCTTAGTGGGGAGTGTGAGGCCTGTGGGCAGCTGGCGGACATTCACTTTACTGCATTCCCCGCAGTCGGAGCTCCCGGCAGGCCCTCTAGGCAGAGGCAGTGGCTAGTGCCTGCCCCAGAAGCAGGTGGTCCTGGGGGAATTCCAACGATCGCTAAGTGGCCAGCAGATCATCCAGGGAAACATGGCATTCTTATCAGCCCCCATCTGGCTGAAGATATAATAATTTTTTAAAGTCAAACAGAGTATAAAATACGATAAATACTAACGGCCTTTAGGCTACTCACCCCATAACACTTGCCCTTCCCGCCTCCCCTCCCCCAGGGGCCACCCACGACCTTCCTCTGCACCCCCATTCCCTCTCTCAGAGCCCCCAGGCTCCAATGCCCAAGTGCTGTCCTTGCTCCTGCCCGGGCTTTCTCAGCAGCCATTCTTCCTTTCCTCCAGGAGTCTGCCTCAAAATGGCGCTCAGTGCAGGAGAGAAACCTTAGCCCACCCCATAGGGCACCGCCCTCCTCTGAGCCCCGGCAGCCCTGGTTTCCATCACCGTCCACTGGGCTCATCTCTTGGCCGGTGTCACCCTGTTCAGAGGCAGGACCAGCTGGGGAGTGGAGGGCCACCTCACAGGGCCCCTCTGCCCTGTGAGGGGGGCGGGAAGCACCGTGCAGACCGGTCCATCCCACATCACCTGGCTGAGTCTCGGCGCTGCCAGTGGAGACACTACACAGACGGGGAATCAGAACACGCCCTGCTTCTGCCCGGTGGAGGATGGAAGGCCGGCTTCTAGCCGGGCTCTCTAACACCATCGGTGGGGCGGGGGGGGGGGGGGGGGG